AACAGAATTCTCTTGAAGAAGCTCTCTAGGTCTGGCTCAAGAAGTGCAAAAAGAGTCACCTAACACTCCCTACTCTTCTATCTCAGGCCTCAAGCAATCCAGGGGTAGTGGTAGCAGCAAACAGTAAAGCAAATGAGGCCCTCAGGAAGCCAAAATTCTAAGGAAGGGGAAACTTTCTCCTTGATAGAAGGACTTATGGGCCAAGAGACTGCAGGGGGTACATTGCTTTTTCTATGTCCTCTCTCCACTTGGCTCCACACTCAGGAGCAATTATAGGAAGAACATGCCAGAGTAGGGTAAATAAATCCCCAGCTTTGGAGCCAATGAAACAAAAATCAGAGTCCCAGGAACTGAATAGTACCAGGGAGATTACAGAGAGAGAAGAACTTGGGAAGGCAATCTCACAGTTCCTTATAAACAGCTGGGATCACCCCCTGAGCTGGGCATGTGTGGATTTGACACTAAATAGTATAGATTTTGAAAACTTAACTGTAGGATAGACCATTGCCTTGGTCTCCTATTGGCCACGGGATGGTCCATACATGTATACATCTGAAAGGTACTGCAAAGGCTTTGGAAATGGAATTGATTTTAAAATGAGAACCCATAGAAGGCTGGTCAGAATTTACTGTTTGAATCATCCTGTGTTGAATCCTGCTAAAATGAACATATCAACATTCTCCATAGGATTTTTAATAGGACTCAAAGTCTTAAAATATTCAAAATTAAGTGTTCATAATACTCAAAGCTCCAAGATACCATCCAGAATTACTCAACCTACGAAGAACTAGGAAATTCTCAACTTGTAGCATGAAAAGACAATTAGATAATACAGATGTTGAAATTATATGGCAATGACTTTAAAGCAGCAATTATAAAAAAAATGCTCCAGCAAGTACTTCTACTTCTTTATGGAAGTAGATTTCCCAGTCTTCATTCTGAGGAATGGCTGGTGGGTTTGAAATGACAGCCTTCTGGTTAGCAGGCAAATGCTTTAGGCACTACACCACCAGAGCTCCTTATTTGTTCATTTGAAATGAATGGGAAGATAGAAAGTCTCAGCAAAAAAAAAATATAAAGAAGAAACAAATGGAAATTTTTAATGGAAAAAATAATAACCAAAATAAAACTCACTGGATAGGCTCAAGAGCAGAATGGAGATGACAGATTAAAGAGACTGAATGAGAGAAATGAGCCAATATACAAAATAGACAGAGAAAAAAAGATTGAAAAAGAAAAATGAACACAGTCCCTGGGACTTAAGGGATAATACCAAAAGATCAAATACTGGCATCATCATAGTCCCAGAAATACAAGAGAAAGAATGTGGTACAAAAACAAATATTTTAAGAAATAATGCCTGAAAGCTTCCAAAATTTGGCAAAAGGTATAAATTTATAGATTCGGGAAGCTCAAATAACCCTAAAATGATAAACCCAAAGAAATAAATCCCCAGATCCATCCAATCTAACTGCTGAAAACTAAAAGAAATTTTGAAGGCAACCAGAGAAAAATGACACTTTATGTAAGGAGAACAATGATTTGAATGACTGAAGATTTTCTATCAGGAACCATAAAAGCCAGAAGTAAGTACAACATTTTAAAATGCTAAATGAATTGCCAACCCAAAATCCTATATCCAGGAAAAATATCCTCAGGAATAAAGGTGAAGTGGGAGCATTTTCAGATGAAGGAAAAGAGAGAATTTGTTCTAACAGAACTGCTTTAAAAGAAACGCCAAAAGAAGTTCTTTCAACAGAAAGATGATCGCAGCAACTCAGAACATTAGCAATGAAGGAAGAAAAATGGAAATGATAAACATCTTGTTAAATGTAATAGACTATTTTTTTTCTCTTCCGTTATTTAGAACATACTTGATGGTTGAAAGAAAAAATTATAACATTATCTCCTGAGGTTTTCTGCAGATATAAACATTATACATTCAAATAACCAAAAAGAAGGCAAAAAAAAAAAAAAAATAGGAAACAAATGAAAAAGGAAACAAACAGAAAACAAATAATAAAATGGTAGCTGAAAATACAAACATACCAATAATTTCCTTAAACGTGAATGGACAAATGAAAAAGGAAACAAACAGAAGACAAATAATAAACTGGTAGCCGAAAATACAAACATACCAATAATTTCCTTAAACGTGAATGCTCTAAACACCAATCCAAAGACAAAAATTGGTAGAATAAATAAAAAGCAGCAGTAACAACAAGAAGCATGATGCAACTCTACAAGGTATAGGAATTTATTAAAACATAATGATATAGGTATGTTAAAAGTAAAAGGATAGAAAAAGATTTACCCTACAAAACTAACCAAAAGAAAACAGAGTGTCTATATTAATATCAGATGAAATGAACTTTAGAACAGAGAGAATAACCAGAGAAAAAGAAAGATATTGTATAACGATAAAGGGTCAATTTACTACGACAAGGTAAATAATCCTAAATGTGTATGCACCAAATGACTCACTCACTCATTGCCATCGAGTCAATTCTGACTCGTAGAGACCCCCTTTGGATTTCCGAGGTGGTAAATCTTTACAGAAGTAGATTGCCCAGTCTTCCTTCCATGGAGTGGCTGATGGGTTTGAACTGCCAACCTTCTGGTTAGCAGTCAAATGCCTTAGGTAATATGTCACCAGATGACAGAGCTTCAAAATACTTGAAAAGGACATAACTAAAAAGAGAAATAGAGAAATCTATAATAACACTTAGAGATTTAAACCTACTTTCTCTGTAATCAATAGATTTAATGGACAGGAGATCAACAGGACTGTTGAAGAACTGAATAAGACTATCAATGAACTGAATCTAATTGACATTTATATAACATTTCACCTATCAATAGCAGAAAATACGTTCTTTTTTCACATGCACATGAAATACGCATCAAGATAGACTATGGAATAAATCTTAACAACTTTTAAAGAACTGTAATCATATAAAGGATGTTCAGTGACCATAATAGAATTAGAATAGAAATTAACAGAAAGATAATAGGAAAATCTACAAATATGTAGAAATTATATAGCACAATTTTAAATAACCCATGAGTCAAAGAGTATATATGAAAAGAAATTATAAAACATTTTGAAAAGGAAAAAAAGCTATCAGAATTTGTAGAACACAGATAAAGTAATTCTTAGAGGAATATATATATTGTTTATAGCAATAAATGGGAGCTCTGGTAGCACAGTGCCTAAAACACTTGACTGTTAACCAGAAGGCTGGCGGTTCAAACCCACCAGCCACTCCTCGGAAGGAAGATGGGGCAATCTACTTCCGTAGTGATACTGCCTCAGAAACCCAAGGAGGGGTCACTATGAGTTGAGTCCAACTCGGTGGTACATAACAACAACAACACACATAGAAATAATTACTTTTATTACAAAAAGGAAAGATTTCAAATCATAATCTAAGCTTGCATATTAAGAAATTAAAGAAGAAGAGGAAGAAAATATATCCAAAACAAGAAGAAAGAAATATTAAAGAGTAAAAATCAATGAAATTGAAAATGTAAAAATAATAGAGGAACAGTCAGTGAAACCAAGAGATGGTTCTTTATATCTACAATACATAAAGAATTCTCCAACCTCAACAGTAAGAAAACAGCTCAATTAAAAATGGGCAAAAGACTTGAACAGGAACTGCACCAAAGAAGATTTATGTGTTGCAAATAAACACATGAGAAAGTATTCAACATCATTAACCATTAGGGAAATACAAATAAAAACCATGAGGAAATATCACTACACACCTATTAACATGACTAAAATTTAAATACTGACAATACCAAGTGCCAGTGAAGACATAAAGCAATTGGAACTCTCAAACATTACTAGTGCATATTGAACAGTAGCATTTTGGAAAACATTGGAAGTTTTTAATGAAGTTAAATGTACACTTAACCTATATATAACTTGGTGAATCCATTCTTAGATATTTAGTCTAGAGAAATGGAAATTTATGATCACACAAAAATCTGTGCACTATAAAATGTTTATAGAGCACTATTCATGCATACCAAAACTGAAAACAACTCAAACATCCTTTAATAGTTTAATGAATAAACAAATGGCAATACAATCCAAAACAAATGGCAAAGTAATGAAATATGCAAGAAAAAAGGAATGAAGTGTTCACACATGCAACAGCTTGGATGAATCTCAAAGGCATCATGCTGAGTGAAAAAAAGCTGATATAGAAAGATTACATATGCCATTGTTCCAATTATACCATAATCTCAGTAAGGCAAAACTAGAGTTATAGATGGAGAACATCTCAATAAATGTCAGGACTTCTTGTTGTTGTTGTTGTTGTTGTTATGTGCTGTTGAGTCAGATCCGACTCATAGTGACCCCTCCTTGGGTTTCCGAGGCTGTATCACTATGGAAGTAGATTGTGGGATGGGAAAGCTTGTGATTATAAAGAACAGCTGAAAGGAGTTTTTTAGGTGATGGAACTGTATCCTGATTGTGGTGGGGGTGATTACACAAATGTATACACATACAGTTGAACTGTACACCAAAAGAAAAGGTCAAATTTACATGTTAATTTTTAAAAAAATAAAATTAATATAAACACTTTTTTACATTTACCTTAAAATGTAGGTTACAAATGTCCACAAATAAGACTTGAAGATTTATGTTATATCAAAACCTAATTTAACCCACAAATAAAAATCAAAAAGATTAGGATATACTCACCACTGCTTGATGCATTAGAACCATCAACCACAGGAGCTCAGGAGGGCAGCATTTGCATAGGGAGAAAGGTAGGGAGGCAGGAATGCTAGGCCAGAAGGACACAGGGAAAGGGCAACCATAGGGAGGAAGGGGGAGACACTGCAGGGAACCTAACAATAGTCACAAACCAGAATTTGTATGAACTATTGAATGTGAAACAAATCTGCTTTGTAAAAATTCACCCAAATCACAATAGAAAGTTTAAAAAAAAAAAAAAAAAAAAAGGTAATGATCTACTCACCACTGCTTGCCCCTCTACAGTTTCCATTGCTAGAATCCATAGGAAAATCTGAAAGGAGGTGACAGAATAGAGAACCAGAAGATATCTATTATTACATTATTTCAAGCATTCCCATATAAAAATCTAATCAGTCACAAGCTTGATTTGGGTAAGACCTTAAGTGTCTTAACAAAATGGATTATTTATGTCCTAAGGTTGGCACTCACTTATTTGTTGGTCCAGTAAGGATTTTGTTGTTGTTGTTGTCAAACCCGACAACAAACCCGACTCATAGCAACCCCTCCTTGGGTTTCCGAGGCAGTATCACTACAGAAGTAGGATTGCCCAACCTTCCTTCCGAGGAGTGGCTGGTGGGATTGAACCGCCAGCTGTCTGGTTAGCAGGCAAGTGTGTTAGCCACTATGCTACCAGAGCTCCCCCAGTAAGGATAGTCTTTTTAAATCCTCATCATCTGTGTATTAAATTTCAGGATTTAATGAATAACTCCTTCAGTTTTTGAATTTCATGAAATTTGTGAACCATATTTTTATCACAATAAAATCTCTGCATATCTTGGGCACTCACTTGTGACTTGATGACTTAAAGAACCAAATATGCCTCTTCAGAAAATAAATGAATCACACTGCTGATGTACATTTAAATCCTTAGTGTCTAAAGAAAACATCCCGAAAGTATTCTTGTGCCCTTTGATAACTGCAGACTAAAGACTTCTTCAATAGAAAGGAAAACTACCATCCAGAGATTATGTAAGCCAGTGCAATTAACACCAAAACCAAACCAAACTTACTGTGGTGGAGTTGGTCCCGACTCATAGCGACCCTTCCTTGGGTTTCCTAGATGGTATCTCTGCAGAAGTAGATTGCCTAACCTTCCTTCCAAGGAGTGGTGGTGGGTTTGAACCACCAGCCTTTTGGTTAGCAGTCAAATGCCTTAGGCACTATGCCACCAGAGCTCTCTTGCAATTAATAGACATAGCAATCATTAGAAATTGTTATTTATTCTTTTCATGATCCCATAAATACCAGGAAATGATAAAGGTCTTCTGTGTTCTAGTTGAGAAAGTAGCCTCTAATAAACAACATTGAGTACCACAGCAAAACACCATGCTGAGACATAGTTCCTAGTTATATGTCAAAGGAGCGCTGGTGACACAGTAATTAAGCATTTGGCAACTAACTAAAAATTTGGTGATTTGAACCCACTAGCCACTTCGCAGGAGAAAGATATGGCAATCTGCTTCCATAAAGATACAACCTTAGAAGATCTATGGGACAGTTCTACTCTGTCCTATAAGGTGGCTATGAGTCAGAATTGACTAGACAGTACACAACAACAACTGGAATGTCAACACATCAGTACCAATAGAACAAAGTACCTATTGAATGTGACAAAATAGGAAAAGAGTGGAATCAAGGCTAACTCCCAGGCCTGGGCAACTAGGGTAGGTGGTCTCTCTCACCTACATAGAAAATACTAGAAAAAGAATAGGTGTATGGATGAGGATGAGGAAATGGTGAGTTCATTCTGGGCCATGCTTAGATTGAGAGGCTTGGGGTTAGATATGAGCAGCTGGAATGTACATTCTCTGTTATATTAGAAATGCAGTGAAGCTGTACTCTCTTATCTCCTGGAATCACAGTCCAGGGCTACCTTCTCTTCTCCTAAGCCAAATACAAACAGGCTTTCAAAATGCAATGGAAAATATTTTGTCATTTTAAACACGATGCAAAAAGCAAAACAGATTTTATACAAAGTTAGAAATCATCTCTTTTCTTAGTAAAAGAGGAAGTATAGTGTAGAGCAGGCTCTAGTTTGAACCCTAACTCTTCATCTTGCCAACTTTATGAAATTAATAGACGAGCCATTAACTTCTCTATATTCCTCAGTCTCCTTTTCTGCAAAATAGGAATAACAGTACCTACCATGTAGTTATTATGAAAACTAAATGAGCTAATATGGATAATGCACATAGGATAGCATCCTACACATGGTAAATACCACTAGTTTTTTTCCTGTTGTTGCTAATGATCCTTAAGAATGACCATATATCCTCTACCAATGATGTTGTTTTGTTAAACATATATCATGCTTTGCAATTTATTAATCATTTTACATGAAGATTTCATTTTTTCTTCATTATCTCCAGTCAATGTCACTGTCAAATGACTTGCCCTGAGTACAAAATTAAATGGCAAATCTGAAATTCCAACTGTGATGGTTAATTTTATGTCAACTTGGCTAGGCTATAGTACCTAGTTACTTAATCAAACACCAATCCGTGTGCTGCTATGACTGCAGATGTGTGAACATCAGCAGTTGATGAATAATGAAGGGAGCTTTTATGTACAGGAGAGTACCCTCGATAAAGTGGGGGGCCTCCCTCATTCAGTTCTTCAATTTAAGAGCAAAAGCAAGTTTCCCAGAGAAGAATTCCTACCTAGTTTCTGGTCTGCCTTAAAATTTTACACTTGCCAGTCCCCACAATCATGTAGCCCAATTCCTTAAAATAAATCTCTCAGTCTATCCTATTGGTTCTGATTCTCTGGAGAACCTGATTGAGAAACCAACTAAGAGCCTGTAACACTAACAATGTGGTTTTCTATACAATGAAGAAATATAGCTAACTGTTGATTATCCAAGCTATCCAACTCATAACAACCCCTTCCCTAGGTTTCCAAGGCGGTATCACTATGGAAGTAGATTGCCCAACTTTCCTTCTGAGGAGTGCCTGGTGGGTTTGAACAGCCAGCCTTCTGGTTAGCAGTCAAGTGCCTTAGACACTACGCCACCAGAGCTCCCCTATGTTTGTATAGTGGGCTCTTGTTCTCTCCTTTCTAGACATCTAATAGAAACTCCAAATATGGTCACTTTTTCTATTTATAGCAATAACTATTTGAAAGTTTGGTAGGAATGAAATTTTAAAAATGAATGATTAAAATAAAGTTTGAGGACTGCATAGAGTCAAAGACCTATGTCCCTAAGTCTGTTACTGCTGATAATCGTTTGCTGTAAATAAAATTAAATACTGTAACATTCTGAAATACTCTTCCCTGTCCATCTAGAGTGTCTTTTTACTTAATGAAGGACCCTTAGAATCATGTTTCTCTCTAGTCTTAATCTAAAATTTCCATTTCTCCTTTCCATCCCATTTTCCTCCTCATATCACACTAAATAATTCTCCTTCCTTCTTGGTATTTGGCCCCTCAAATATTTGTAGACTAGGGCTAAAGAAAAGGCTGCCTGTTCCTCAGAGAGTGGCGAAATGATTAAACAACAGTTCATGCATGTGAAAGTTGGCGCAGCCCTGCCAGTCGGAAGAAGGCCTAGAGAAATCTGTTGAGCAAGAGCTGGGGTGACAAGTTAACACTACCATGAAAACCAGCTATGACTGAGAGTGATTATAAAGCCCTTGGCAGGCAAACTGTGGGTGTTATATAAATAACTGTTAAATAGCATACCATAAATTTTGTTAAATGCCTGATTTCTGAAATAAACTATTTGTAATTAACAGACATAGATTAGTCTTTTTTTTTTTTTTTTTCCTCTTGAGTCTGAGATCTAGGTTTATTTGTATGAAAGGAAATACAAACTTAGTATATTCCGAAGACATAAGATCTGCTTTTCCAAATCAGTCCCAGTGTGAAACTTGTTTCCCAGAGCTGAACTGATAAAATTCTAGGCTGTATCTGCATTTACCAACATATCCACTAAAAAAATGAAAATATACCTTAATTTGCTATAGCAATCATGATATAGTCAAATAACAGCACAGCAACAATTTATTAAGAGCTGCTGTGTAGAAAGTATTGGACTCAATACTTTTTATATGTTACTCAATTTAAGTTTTACCACACCCTTGGGATGTAGTTGGTATTGTCCCCATTTTACAGATAAGAAAAGTTTGAACCTTTGAGAGGTTATATGATTTTTCTATAACAGTTAACATGGGAAGAGTCAGGATTTGAACCCTGTTTTGCCCAACTCCAAACCTGTACTCTTTACTCATCATGCCATACTAAAGATTGCACTAAATGTCTTAACTGGCTGAATGACTAAATTGAGCTGTATTCTCAGATAATTACTTCAAAGTAGTTGAACATGTAGCCACAACCTTGTGGTGAATATAAAATATATAAGAAGAATAAATTTAAAGTGAATTAATTAGTAATGGTTAAGATGTGTCCTTTGCACTACAAAAGTACGTTTGCCCTAAGGATTTTGAAAATGAAAAGCAATTTGAAGCAATAATCCATTTCAATAGAACTTTGCTTTTTAAAATGTCCTTAGCTTGTTTGTGGAGCCAGAATGTACAATGGGGAAACAGTTCCACATGAATGGCAGGATTTAAAAACTCTTCTTGACATTGAAGGAATGTGAAAGTCAAGTTGCATTTTATTCAGGGAGATCTCGTTTTAATATCTGTCTGGGATAGATTCTAGTCGCAAGACACAGGGACTTTGTTTATACCTGGAGAAAAAGAAACAAAAACACTTCCTTTGTGAACTATTATATCCCACTGGACTACAGAATATATTGCATTTTAAGATTAAACAAGCCACATGTGGTAGTTCCTAAGTAATTCCAGGTGTCTGACAGTTTGACCCAGCATAGGCAATGCAATTTTCAGCAAGCAAGCCCTGCAAGCCAGGGGATCCTCCAGGCTAGAATTCACACCCCCACTTTCCACTCTCATCTCCCCTTCACCTCCACCCTCCACCATTGTCTCAGGTTTATGCTGGAGGTTATGATAAATGGGGGTGGGTGGGGTCATCAATAAAACCCAGTTCCAACTACCACCTACTCCTTATTTTTCTAGCAAGGATATTGTCAAAAGCACTTGTTAAAACATTTTACAGAAGCTCAGAAATTAAGTTCCATGTACTGACAGATGTTTCCACACATGTTCTGTTGGAGAACTTCCATGAGAAAATTGTACTAGGCTCGGTCCACAGTGATAGGTAATTGGGGGGAGGGGTACTTACGATACTGCGTCCTCTCAAAATTGAATAGCAGGGTATTTGAGGGCCATTAACCTTGCAAACCTCTCTCATTTGGGGTCCATCTATAAGAGAGGTTTAAGAGAGTATCTTCTCCTTTAAGGGAGAACCATTGCCACCTAATTCCTAGCCCTTGGCCCAGAGGAACACCAGTATTCAAATACATCTCAGGGCCTGACAGACCAGGGAAGCAACTGTATTGAGCAAGACTCTTCCCAAGTCTGCAGAGCCAAGGGCTTTAGTGACAACAGAGATTTAAGAATGAGTGCCTTTTTAGCCCACAAATTAATAATGCGCAATAATTAATAATCAATAATTCTGATTATTTTATACAACCAGCTCCTGGCTCTTGATTAAAGTTACAAAAATAGATATGCAAAAGGTTGTAACCTAAACCAGGTGATCATTGATAAGTCCTCGAAATTTTTTTGTTCAATTTTTGGTTTTCCAACTGCTTGTATAAGTACCTCCCACTTCCCTGCTCACTTTGGGTTATGTGAGCTAATGTGCACAGAAAGTAGCAGAAGACTCCCTGATTTTTCCAAATCAATGCACTGATAACCAAGAACCATCACCTAGAAAAGGACTAAGCAAGTTGGCAGGCAAAGGAAGAAAAAACGAACGGCCAAGAAATGAACAGAGACGGGAGCAAGCAGGCAGACACAGCTTCAACCGTCAATCCGGGGAGCATGTGAAAGAGAACCACTCATAAAGGACTGGGTTTATTTTTAAAGTATATGAAGGATGAAATCTGAGGTTTGGTTTAGAGGGTAGGAATGACACTTAGAATTAAATGGACCACAGTGAATTAGGTCTAGTTGGAGTCTTTGAATGCCATAATTAGACCAAATGCTAGTGTGAAAACAACTTGTGATTGATTGATTCCATTAAGTGTAGAACTGTAATAAAGTTTTATGATAAAGATCGAAATGAATGTGTGGTTGATGTAGTCACTGAGAAAGGGCATGAAATAAGGTACTGAAGACAAGTTACTGGCAGAGTGTAAGAGTAGGATAAAGATGGATTACTCTTGCGTAGGTGGTAAAAGGATGAGATTAAAAATAACATTACATGAGTGCATGATGATAACAAAGCTTAATATAACTCCTTTCATCCATATGCCATTTACAAAATGACTTGAAGGCATGTGGGCATGTGAAAAGAGCCCGGCAATTTCCCTCTGGCAGCTCTGGCTGGAGCAAGTCACAGAAGCTAATTAGCAGTGCACAGCAATGTTTCACAGCTGCTTCAGTCTGGAATGGAAGAACAATTTATCTCCTTGGATGCAGGAGGAAATTTTAGGTGACGGTAATTGCTCAAATTGGATTTTGAGCAAACACACACCACTAACATCTGTGGGTTGGAGGAAAGTTACTGAAATTATCTTGGTATTTTCAGAGATTAGAAGAAAATAGGACTTCAGTTTTCTGGGTACCCCCTCCCCCGGTACAATGGCACAATCTTAACCAGCAGCTAAGACACTAAAGAGGAAGAAACTTGATGTGTGAGAATGGGTAAGAAAGCTTAGGGATCATAAACAAATTAAGAAAGTGAGAAAAGAGCCCCACTATGCAAAATATGGTTACTTTGACAAGCAAGGAGTGGAAAGTGAAAGGTCACTACTGGGGGCCAAAGTGACGTGAGTGGAATGAATGGAGTTTTCAGAAAGATCAGATACGGGATAAAGGACATCAATTTGAAAGGGCAATAAGGTGAGATAAAAAGGGGAATGGTGCTCGAGAGAGGAGTGATCAGAAAAGAATTGGCGTGAAAGCGGGTAACAAGGGCTCCAGTCGTGAAGAGGCTGAGCGCTGGAGGGTTCAGACTGTACTTACCGGCTCCATCCGCGGTGACAATGGCCTCAGGAGAGATGCACACGCCGCGGTCGTACACCGGCAGCTCCTCGCAGGCCAGGCTCTCTGGCCACGAGTGGCGGTACTTGATGAGGATGGGTTCGCAGCCCTGCCGGGCCCGCTCGCACACCGACTTGCAGGGCTTGATGGGCTCGTGCTGGAAGTCGATGGTGCAGATGGGCGCGTACATGGCACACAGGAAGAAGAGCAGGTCTGGGCTGCAGTGGGTGCCCAGCAGACCTTCAAACTGCTCGATGGCCAGGATGGCGTTGGCCTGGGTGCTGTGGTGTAGGTGGTTGGGCATCTTGGTCATGTTCCAGGGCAGGGACTTGCACAGGGGGATGCGGACGGGCTCACAGGCTGCAGCCCGGGCTCCGGGCACCCGGAGCAGGCAGAGAGCAGCCAGGGCGAGCAGCCCCGTCCGCAGCAGCAGCATCCCTCCCCGGCTGCCGGAGACCATGCTCCCGGCACGATGGGACGGGGTGCAGTAGTGGTGCGGCCGCCCAGAGGCCGTCCGCGGTCTCCTCCTCCTCACCGAGGTGGACTCAGTGATCCGGAGCTTCTCCTCCCCCCGCACTCTCCCAGTTTCCTAGGATCAAATTCCCCCAATGAGGTCCCACGGCTGCGCCCTGGTCCACCGCCGCCCGCGCCGCTCCCGCCCCGGCGGCTCTTCGCCGACGTCTGAGCCTCGCAGGAGCAGCGGCACCCTTTTATTCCGCTCTCGGGCAGAAGCACCGGACCTCGCCAATCAATCAGAGGAGCGGAAAACCCGAGGGGGAGAGGAAGAGATCAAAACAAAAGAAGAATTCAGCCGAGGTAGCTGGGGATGCGGGGTGTCACGGCCCCTAGATCCCAAAAGGTGCTAAAGGCAGCATTCAATGACCAAGGGGGGGACAGGAGGAAGGCGAGGAAATCGGGGAGGGGGACTCCGAATCGCAGGGTGGGGTGGAGAGGGATGCAGTAAGAGAGGCTGGAGTCCGGTAGGCCAAGGAGGAAGATGGAATTCTCGGGGTGAACGGCTGGCAGCTGCCGCGGCCACAGTGGCAGAGGGACGCGCGGGCCGAGCCTCGCGGGGAGGTCTGCGCCTCCAGCCCTGCTGCTCTTCGCTTCCCCACCTCGGGGCCACAGGGACGGCTCCGCCCCGCAGCGCCGCCCCTGCCCTCCGACTCCTGCTCTTCTTCCCAGGAAAAGGACGGAGGGTCGGGGACAAGAAGGTTTGTGGTGGATGGGGTTTGGAGGATAGCCTTGAGAAGTAGTGAGGATGCCATTATCCAAGGCTCGGCTGACTCGAGTCGCACACCCCGTGAGGAGGAGCGCGTCTCTTCTCCACTGGGAAGCCCGTCGTAGTCCCCACTCCTGGGAACTTCCTGTCCCCAGATATGAGCCCCTCGCACTTCCATGAAGAGCCCACCCCAATCTCCAACTGAGAAGTCTCCCTCTTCCCCCAATTCCCCACTTGGGAATCCACCCTACTCCCTGGAGATACTCCCTTTAAATAAACTGCAGAAACTTAGACCTGAGGGGAAGAGGCTCAAGCAATGTCACTTTAAATGTCCAAGTCCCAGATAACAGGGACAGCTGTGAACAGTAGTGGCGCCTTATCATCCCAAAGCTTAGTGACAACAGAAGTCTGTGCTTTTTAAAAACCAGATGGGGGAGAATTGCTTCTCATAAAAAGGGAGAAAATGTGTACAATTGCAAATAGGCCACCAAAAGCAAGGAGCAGGAATTTTTTTTTTTCTTTTAAATTTTTCTTTGGCTTGCAGCATCAGAACTTTTGAGTTTTGCCTTTTAGGTTTGAGCATGGAAACTAACAGCTGTTAAGTGCTTGACTTTTTCTTTCTGATTTTACTAAAATAAAATGATGCATTATTTAACTCTTCTCACTAATAATTTCACCTAACACTTGAGAGAAAGGTGTAGGAAAATTACACCATACAGGTAACAATGATGATGATGACTATATTTAAATAAATAAGTAATAAAACTTCCCCTTTCCAACCAGATGAGTTCAATCAAGAGGAAAAAGTAGAAAACAGATACTTGTGGGCTGCTCCTTCTACTAATGAGCCCTGCCTCTTTCCATCCCTCCCTTTTCAGGACAGATTATAAATGAAATGACCTGCAAAGGCGCTGGCACAGGGTACTTTCAATAGGAAATCACTGAGCAAAAGGATTGCAGAATGTCAGAAAACAAAGCCCCCACTGAGCAGAAAAGGAAACAAATGCTAAAGCAAAACAGGAAGTCACCTTTACTCTGCATCAGTAAAATATGTCTCTGCTTTAATGCAGCCTTTTTCACAGTCAATAATAAGCAGAGGAAAATATGCCCCCACTTCAGGGAACAGAGTGGGATGTATTCAATTCTCCAACTCTGTCTTGGAGACAACACTTATAAAAATGTAAGTTCTTACTTGAGTTTTTGGAATTTTATCTTCAAAATGACCATAAACGGCAGCATGTGGCTGCTGTAAATTTTTTGGAAGGAAGTTTGTTCCACTTAGGAGAAAAAAAACAACAGATGGTAGATAGGGAATCATTTAGCTAGTGTACAAACTCTGCCTGTTCTACAATTATTTAGTGTTATCTAAGAAATAAGGCAAAAAAAAAAAAAATATACAAATGAATGAGAAATAAATGATATAGCAAGTAAAATTTGGAGGAAAAAAGCAATAAAACCAATCAATATTAGAATATTAGAGCTATTCTATATGAAGAAACTAGCTGGGAATGGCGATAAATTAGAAGAAAGAATTGAGAAGTAGATAAAATAGATTGTTTGCTAAATACCTTTTCCCTTTCATCTTAAATCTTACAGCACAAGAAGAAATGAACCAATTGTTTTAATGATTCTATAATTCTAAAATAAAGTCTGTTTTCCTTGCCAAGCACAAAAGTTGGTTATCTTTTCTTTCTTCATTCATCCAAATTCGTGCTTTTTATCACAACACAAAATCAATTTCACTGCTTCTGGGAAACCTTTTTGAATACTCTGCCTGTTCATTTTTCTAGCTAGTTCCTCTTGAATATTGTTCATTTTTGGAAACTGTTCTTTAGCACCTGCCAATTTATTGCTTCAAAAAAAATTTTTCATTATTTCATTATTTCTTTGGGTGTGTTCTGCCTTCCTAAAATTTCTTTTTGAAAGGAAATAATCCATCTTCTACTTCTTTAGAAGTGGGCATTTGAAAAATGTTGGCTGATGATGAAATTTGGAATGCAATAGTTTATATATTAAATTATAGAAATCTTAATGAGAACTAAAAAAAAAAAAATCAGTAAATAGTGATAGCTGAGGTTTGGAAATAGGCTATGTGATCATGAAGGAAACACTAAACTTAGAAAAAGCATGTTGTTGTTATGTGCCATCAAGTCGAACTCAACTCATAGCGACCCCTCCTTGGGTTTCCGAGGCAGTATCACTACGGAAGTAGAGTGCCCCATCTTCCTTCCGAGGAGTGGCTGGTGGGTTTGAACCACCAGCCTTCTGGTTGGCAGTCAAGTGCCTTAGGCACTATGCTACCAGAGCTCCCTAGAAAAAGCATAGATCACCATTATTGGGTGAGCTGTACCCTTCAAAGTGAGTGACTTCAAATACACCCACAGTTAGAGAAAATTAAGGGAAGGATGGTCCCCTGGAGGAAAGGGGTCATAGGCAAATTATTTGCTTTATATTCTGTGCTACAGTTGGGTTTTTTTTTTTTTTTTTTTTTCCTACAGTTTTATTTAACTAGAATTTAACTGACAGAACACTGATCTTTGTGTAGAACTGCACCTAGGCTACAAGAAGGACATTTAGACATTTCTGACAACTGTTGAAGAAATTTCAGAGTACACATTATGCAAGCAACAAACAAGCAGCTGGAGCATTGGAGTTTATAAATGGTGTCTTGATGGGCATAGCAATTGTGGTCTTTACAACTCATCTTTACCAATTAAAGAGGTTTGTGCAGTGGGTTTCATATTAGAGGAAGTTGTCAGAGTGGCAAATGCAAGTTATCACTACTGATACCCTGCTGAAAAAAAATCTAAACCAGACCAGATTCCAGAATTTCCCCAAGACACATCCAGTAGGTCTTTTCCAGGCTGAGTGGATCACTTCCAGAATAACACAGACATCTGGCTCCATGAGAGCTGCAGCATAGCGCCCCCTAGCACTACATTGGAAAGCACTGCCAACGAGTCCGATCCGACTCATAGCGGCCCCTCCTTGGGTTTACCAGGAGGTATCACTACGGAAGAGCTATGGGCCAATTCTGGGTTCAATAGCTGTTTGGAAAGTGCACCCAGAACCAGTTATGGCCAACCAGGGTCTTCTTAGACTGCATACTGGCAATCTGATCACTGGCATTTCATTTAAGTGCCTATGTCAAAAATTTCCATGGTGATGTTAAGAAAAACTCATGCTATAGGTCATCACTATGAAACAGCCTTATTACCAGAATTTAAATTTGACCACTTTACTGAATAAGGATATAATGATAATAGAAGACAAGATTTACCAGTCTGAGACTGGAGGAACCCCCAAGACTATTGCCCTAAACAACCTTCTAACTGGAAATTCAATACACTCCTGGAGGTCACCTCAGCCAAATAGATGGGCCTATAAAATAAACAGTCATATGTGCACCTGACAACAATCAACCATTTGAGCCCACAAGAGCAAGTTTGGCCAAAACCAAAGAGTAGAAGGCAAGGAGAGATAAGGAAACCAGACGAATGGAAACAGGGAAACTAGGGAGGAAATGGGGAGAGTGCTGGCACCTTGCAGGGATTGCAACCAATGTCAAGGAAAAATTTCTGTATGGATTATTGATTGGAAAACAAATTTGCTATCTAAATTTTCAAAAATAAATAAATAAATAAAGCACAATAAAATGCTAAAAAGAAAAAAAAAAACTGCAATGTCCCATTTGCTCAGTAATTAAATATTAACATTATTTCTCATCTGTTTGAATAAACTTTTACCCTAGATTCCTGATAATAAGACTACCTACTTATTTCTTAGAAGGTTTGGTGGCACAGTGCCTAACCAGAAGGCTGGCAGTTCAAACCCACTAGCCACTCCTCAGAAGGAAGACTGGGCAATCTACTTTGGTAGTGATACCGCGTCAGAAACCCAAGGAAAGGTCACTATGAGACGGAAATACTCCTAAAAGCAGGGTTGATAAGGTAAATAATTAACTGATACAGCATGGCATTGACCAGTCAGAAATGACTGTGGATAGTCCCACTCTGTACCAACTCAGCATCAGTCCTAGGTACTCAAGGAACAAGGAAAGTAGAGTCTATTGAGTACCTACTGTGTGAAGCACATAAACCACGCAACAGTGTTTTACAGGAGGTTTTCGTTCCTATGATGAAGAAACTGAGAATCAGAGGAATGAGGTAACTTCCCAAACTTCACACAGACTGCTAGAGGTGGGGCTTGAATCCATGCTTGTTTCACAATTCCAACAATCACGCTTTTTTGTAGCAGAAAGAAAGCTGGAAAGGGAAAGACCTGGGCTCTCTGTGAGTCTGCGTCTGGGTCTGAGTTCTGACCACACTGTCAAGTATTGGCTCTGCCTTCCCAAGAAGAGAATATGAAGACTTAAACTTCAAATGGGGCTGCCTTCCTGCTCACATCCTCTACCCTCAGTGCTCTACAGACCTAGTATTTCCT